CATTCTCCGCTCGGGATCTTGGGCACACATGCACACGCACCTGGTGTGAGTTTAAGCCACTGGATCCGGGACTCGAACCGCAGTCGACTACAAGGGAGTCCAGCAATGTAGCCATTAGGCCATCTGCTAGTCCCTATAACCAAAAATATTAAAGATAGGTGTTCAAACGAGAATTCGTACACACGGCATGAGCAGGTCCCAGTGCGTGGTGCTCTCTCTCACACATGTATGTGGGTGCACATGGCCTCTGGCATAAAAAGAGTGCACGTGACGGTCCCAGCAACATTATTTACGACAGCCGGAGGACCGTCATCAACGACCTCGTATAAGGACCCTGGTGGCTGTGAACAGCTGAAGGGAGGAACAACCTGTAGTCTGCCCACAGGGAGGAGCAGCCCTCAGGCATGGGAAGATTAATGTTCTGCCGGGGATGGACCTTGGCAGAAGCAGGCACAGCGCGCCACGACACGTGTGATCCCACTTATTTCACATGTCCACAACCGGCAAATCCACAGAGACAGAAAACCAATTAATTGGTGACTGCCAGGGGCTGGAGGAGCAGGGAACAGGGAGTGAAGACTTGATGGGGTCAGGGTTTCTTTTTGGGGTGACAAAAATTTCCTGGGACTAAACGGTGGTAGCGTGACATTGTGAGAATACTACATGTCAAGGCTTCATTTTTTTTTTAATTTTAAGAATTATTTTATTTAACTTTATTTATTTTAATTTGACCAGAGAGGAACATAGTGAGAGAGAGAAAGTGAGAAAGCAAACCACCAGGTCTGGGACTCGAACCACAGTCGGCCACGTGGGAGTCCAGCACCCTTAACCACCACACCACCTGCCGGCCCCCACTTCATTATTTTTTAATTGCCAAAGGATGTGTGCACTCATCAGAGAGAGAGGGAAAAGCACTGCCCAGTAGGGTGTGGTCACACAGAAGGCCCTTCTCCTCCATTTCTCCATCCTGTCAGGATGTGGGACACACACACACACACACACACACACACACACACACACACACACACGCCTGGTGTATTTTTCAAGCTTCCGGGGCCAGGACTCAAACCACTTGGTATGCACACATACACAAGAGTATATGTACACATGAGAGAGTTAGAAACTAGAGCAAGGGAGAAGCACTCCCACGGGGTCTCGCCACACCATGATCCACTCCCAGGCTCCAGCTCATCAGCATCTGGGCGTCTATGCAGGCTCAGCATATTGTGGGTCGACAGGCTTGAAGACCCGAACCCTGGTCGGCCACATGGATCCCAGCACTGCCATCCAGCACTCTCAACTGTGCCACAGAAGCCAGGCCAGCTCTGTATAAAATATTTTTCCTCTCAGAAGAAATTGTGAAAAGCACAGACCACCTGGTTCAAATCCTGTTTCTATCTGACCAGCTGTGTGGCCTTGAACAAATTACTTAACCTTCTGCACCTCAGTTTCCCCATCTCTGCAATGGGGGTAACAGGCTCAACCTCACAGAACCGTTAGGTAATTGGGTGACCTGATGAACTGTGCTTGCAAAGGGCTCAGGACCGAGCTCGGCATACAGTAAGAGCAAGGATAAAGGCCAGCTCTGTGCTGTTGGTGGTGATGGCAGTTACTGGTCAGTCACGTGACACAAAATGCAAACTGGGCCCAGACACAGTGGCGCAGGGAATAGCAATCTGATGTGTGATGCTGGAAGCCCCACGGCCAAGTATGGGTCCAGATTCTGAGTTGACCTTAACACTCCGAGCAGCACGCCCAAGATCCTGACTAATAGGAGGGGGACTGCAAAGTGATGAGATCCTATCAAGGGTGCCTGTCTGTCTGTCTCTCTCCCTATGAAAGAAATAAGATAAACAAGCTTTGGACTAGCAGATGGCACAATGGTTATGCCGCTGGACTCCCATGTAGTCAACTGCAGTTTGAGTCCTGGACCGGGAGGCTTAAAACTCACACTGGGCATGAGTGTGGGTACCCAAAATCCTGAGAAGAGAATGGAGAAGGGATTACAGCATGGCCGCCCCAGGGGGTGATTTCTCATGTTCTGTCTGTCTCTCTGACAAGCATACACGCCCTATAGCAAAATCTCTAAAATTAATTAAATTAAATTAACAAGCTTAAAAGTTGCAAAGGATGGGCTATCAAGTGGTGTGAGGTTAAGATGGCTGGATTCTACATGGCTGACTGTGTGGCTCAGGCCTGGACCCAGTGGCTTGAAAATCATTCCAGGCTGGGGCCAGCAGGTGCTGGGGTGGTTGAGGTGCTACATTCCCACAGGGATGACCACAGTCGAATTCCGAACCTGGTGGCTTACTTTCTCACTTTCCCTTCCTCTGGTAAAATTAAAAATAAACTAATTAAATAAATTAAATAATTCTTTAGAAAGAAAGAAAGAAAGAAAGAAAGAAAGAAAGAAAGAAAAGAAAGAAAAAGAAAATTACACCAGGCATATGTCTATGCATGCCCAGATTCCTGAGAGGAGAAGAGAGGAGAGGGGATTGCGGCATGGGCATCCTCCTTGGCAGATGATTTCAGTTTCCCTCTCTCTATCTCTGTCTCTCTCAGGTGAGTACATAGACCCTATGGCAAACTAAAAACAAAAACAAAAACAAAACAAAAAAGCAAAGGATATAGAAAAAGATACATACAGGGGCCAGCAGGTGACATGGTAGTTAAGGGCACTGGACTCCCACATGGCCAATCACAGTTCAAATCCTGGACCTGGCGGTTTGCTTTCTCGCTTTCCCTCTCTCTCTCACTCTGTCCCTCTCTGGTCAAATTTAAATAAATAAATTTAAATAATTCTAAAAAAAAAAAAAAAAAAGCTTACCGCAAAAGAGATGGCTTCTACTTGCCCTTTCCCCACTGACAATTCTGGGTAGAGAGTTGCTTTTTTTTTTCCAAAAATGTCAGAGGGTGATTACACTCTCTGGAGAGAGAGAGAGAGAGCACTCCCCAGTGTGGGCTGGTCATACCGCAATCCCCTCTCCTTCATTTCTCCATCCCATCAGGATCTGGGGCATACATATGCACGTGCCTGGTATGTTTTTCAAGTTGCTGGGGCCAGGGTTTGAACCAGCAGACAGCCATGTGGGATCTCACATCCTTTAACCACTTGGCTACTGAGCCAACCTGAGGGTTGTTCTTTTTTAAAGCTTATTTGAGGAAGGGATATTTGAATTCATGTGAAAGAAGTGAAGGAGATACTTCTGTCCTGTTTATCCCCAACCTTGATTGTAAGAGTCATAAGCATTTTTTTTTTTTTTTTTTTTGCAGTAGGGCACGTGCACTAGCCAGACACAGACAGAGAAGCAAAGGGAAATCGCCCTCCCAGTGGGGATGGCCACATCACAATCCCTTCTCCACTCTCCTCACGGGATTTTGGGCATGCATGTACACGTGCCCAGTGTGATTTTCAAGCCGCGGTGTCCAGGACTTACGTCATGGTCAGCCATGTGGTTTAGCGCCTTAACCACCACGCCCCCATAGGCATTTATTTATACAACTCCACCATTAATACCAGAGTCTCTGGGATGGCAGGCACAGCCCGGCACGCAGCAGGACCCAGCACAGACAGGCTCCTCTCTGCACAAGGATGAGTGAGCAGGCCACTCAGGGAGCACATGCACTATCGGCTCTGTCTGTCTGACTCCAAAGCCACCCCTTCAGCCCCGCTGTCCTGGTGAACCAACTCCTCCCCTTCCTCCCGCCCTCCTGGGCCTCCTGGAGACCCTTCCAGCCGCAGGCCCAGTCTGCCCGGGCTGGCTGCTCCAGGCCCCTCACCTTTCTGCACCTTGTCGCACAGCAAGTAGAGCTCCTCACCGCCCGTGCACGGCCCACTCTCCTTGTTGATTCTGCAGATTCGCAGCTCTGACGTGTTGGTGGACTCTGGGAAGGGCAAGAGGAGGAAGAATTTTTTTTTTGGAGAGGTTTTTGCTATAGGGCACGTGTGCTCGCCAGAAACAGAGAGAGATAGAACGACAGAAAGTGAGAAATCACCGCCCCCGCAGGGGGGATGGCCACACCGCGATCCCTTCCCTCCATTCTCCTCTTAGGATCTTGGGCACGCACGCACACATGCCTGGTGTGAGTTTAAGACACGGGATCCGAGACTCGAACTGTAGTCGACTACATGGGAGTTCAGCAACATAGCCATTACACCAACTGCTGGTCCCTGTTTTGGGTCTTTGTAAAGGTTTTTGCCACAGGGCATGTGCACTCGCCAGAGAGAGAAAGAGGCAGTGAGAGGGAAAGCAAGAAATTGCCCCCCTGCGGGGAATGTCCATTTTATAATCCCTTCTCCAGTCTCCTCTTGGGATTTTGGGCATGCACACACACGCGGCCAGCTTGATTTTCAAGTCGTGGGGTCCAGGATTCAAACTGCAGTTGGCTATGTAGGAGTCTAGCACTTTTTCTGTTATGTTTTTGTTTTTGTCTTTGCCATAGGGTGTATGTACTTGCCAGAGACAGAGAGAGACAGTGAGGGAAAGTGAGAAATAACCCCCCATGGGGGATAGCTATGCCACACTCCCTTCTCCATTCTCTTGGGATTGGATTTTTTTTTTTTTTTAGATAGATTTTTGCTATAGGGCGGGTGCTCTCACTGGAGAGACAGAGAGACAGAAAGCAAGAAATCACCCCCTAGGGGGGATGGCCACGCCACAATCCCTTCTCCTCTATTCTCCTCTTGGGATCTTGGGCCCGCACGCACACGTGCCTGGCATGAGTTTAAGCCACCAGGATGCGAACCGCAGTCGGCTACATGGGAGTCCAGCGACATAGCCATTATGCTAACTGCTGGTCCCACCTGCATGAGTTTTTTAAGCCACCGGGTCCAGGACTCCAACCATAGTCAGCTATGTGGGAGTCCAGCGACATAACCATTACGCCATCTGCTGGTCCTCTCAAGGGATTTTGAGCACACACATGCGCCGCACGCCTGGAATGATTTTCAAGCAACTGGGTTTGGGACTCAAACCATGGTCAGCCATGTGGGAGTCCAGAACCTTATCGACCATGCCACCTGCTGGCCCCAGGAGTTTTGCACGTTTATCATCACACCACCTGCTGGCTTCGAGAAAGCATATTTTTAAAAATGAGAATTCAGTCATCACACCCTAAGAGATGGAAAATAAAGAAGGGAAGGAACCCCATCCTCCTGGAACCCAAGGTCCAGGCAAAGAAAGAAGGTGCTCAGGGGTGCGACAGTGGCACAGGGGGAAGCATACACTCTGTGAGGCTGACCCACGTGGGAAGGTCTCAGTCCGAGTCTGGAGACCTCCCTGGGTATGCTGGGCAGGTGCATGCCCATGATCCAGGGCTGGCTGGGGCTGAGGGTAGATCAGAGTGTCAAGACACTATTAGGGGTACTGTCTGTCTCTCTTGCCTGTGGAAGACATAAAGTTTAGGGCAGCCCTATAAGAGAGCGAGATGCTGCATAGCCAACTATGCAGTTTAAATCCCAGCCCTGGCAACTTGTAAAAACACACAGGCATGGGACCAGCAGTTGGCATAATGGCTATGTCGCTGGACTCCCACATAGTAAATTGTGGTTTGAGTCCCGGACCTGGTGGGTTAAACTCATGCCAGGCGCGTGTGCGTGCGTGCCCAAGATCCTGAGAGGAGAATGGAGAAGGGATTGCCGCATGGCCCTCCCGCCTGGGGGGTGATTTTTCACTTTCTGTCTGTCTCTCTGGTGAGTGCACGCACCCTATAGCAAAAAACAAACAAACAAACAAACAAAAACAAACAAACAAACTCTCTCGAGAAACAAAACATACCAGGCATGTGTGTGTGCATGCCCCGAATCCTGACGGGATGAAGAAATGGAGAAGGTGGAAGAGATTGTATGTGACCATGCACCACTGGGGTGGTTCTCCTTCTCCCTTTCTCTCTGTCTCTCTTCGGAGAGTACATGTACTTTCTGGCGAATTTTTTAAAGAAGATATTTAAAAAAAAATAAAATAGGGCCAGCAGATGGCATGGTGGTTAAAGGTGTTGGATCCAACATGGCCAACTGATCAGTTCAAGTCCCAGACCCGACGGCTTGAAAAACACATCAGGGGTGTGTGTGTGCATGCATGACCAAAATCCCAAGGGGAAAACAGAGAAGGGATTGTAACATGGCCATCTGCTGCAGACAAAGACTTCTCATTTTCCCTCTCTCTGTCCCTTTCTGGTCTCTCTGGTGAGCGTATGTGTCTTAGAGCAAAAACTAAGGGAAAAAAAGAGAGAGAGACAGAGATTATTACTCATGCTCCCCTTCCCTAGGGCTGCCTTTTATGACTGCATGATTTTAAAAATTTTTTATTTATTTATTTATTTTTGAGAGGTTTTCGCTATAGGGCGCGTGCGCTCGCCAGACAGACAGAGAGAGACATAGAGACAGAAAGCGAGAAATCACCCCCCAGAGGGGATGGTCACGCCGCAATCCCTTCTCCTCCATTCTCCTCTCGGGATCTTGGGCACACACGCACACGCGCCCGGCGTGAATTTTAAGCCACCGGGTCCGGGACGTGAACCACGGTCGACTATGTGGGAGTCCAGCGACATAGCCATTACGCTAACTGCTGGTTCCCATGACTGCATGATTTTAAGTTCTACATTTAGGGGGCCCCATTTTCATAGTTTACACAGTAAATGCCCTGGAAACTGGCAGTGTACAATCTGCATAGTCATACAGGGTGACATGGCTTATCTCATGCCTTGAACACAAACACTATGTCTGGAGCCATGGCAGTCAGCTTGTGACCATGAGGAAAAGACCAAGAGCATCGGGACCAGCAATTAGCGTAATGGCTATGTCACTGGACTCCCACGTAGTCGACTGCGGTTCGAGTCCCGGACCCGGGGGCATAAAACTCATGCCGGGTGTGTGTGCATGCGTGCCCAAGATCCCGAGAGGAGAATGGAGAAGAAGGGATTGCAGCGTGGCCGTTCCCCCTGGGGGGTGATTTCTCGCTTTCTCTCTCTCTGTCTCTGTCTGTCTGGCGAGCGCATGCTCCCTATAACAAAAACCTCTAAAAAAAAAAAAAAGGACAAGAGCATCAAGGAGCTGCAGAACCAGTGCTTTGAACAGGCTTAGTAAGTGGGACAAGGGGCTAATAGGTGGTGTGGTGGCTAACCCACTAGACTCCCACATGGCCAACTGCAGCTCGAATCCTGGACCTGGCAGCCTGCTTTCCCACTCCCTCTCTTTCTCTCTCTCTGTGTCTCTCTGGTGAGAGAGACAAATTTTACCCTATAGCAAAATTTAAAATAATAACAGTAATCCTTAAAAAAATAAGTGAGGGGATGAGCAGGTGGCTTAGTAGTTGGGAGTGCTAGACTCCCACATGGCCAACTATGGTCCAGCCTAAGACCCGGCAGCTTGGAACTCATGCCGGGCGTGTGTGCGTGTGTGTGTGTGCGTGTGCGCGTGTGAAGGGACTAGAGAGAAGGGACTGTGGTGTGGCCATCCCCCATAGGGGGTGATTTCTTGCTTTCTGTCTCTCTCTCTCTCCGGCAAGTGCACATGCTCTATACAAAAACATCTCTCTTAAAAATAAATAGATAGATAGATGACACAAAAAAATAAAGTGTCGTTGAGGCCACTGTCAGTGGGGCTTTCTGATCTCTGCAACCAAGGACAAGCGTAATGGACACAGCGCTGTCGACTCACTCTTGTCATAGACGGGCTCGGAGAGCACGGGGTCCATCCGGCGCATCTGTCCCTGCTGGTCCCGATATGAAGCTTGGAAGCAGATCCTGACCACATTCATGTCCACCTCCTGATGGTTCTTCAGGGAGCCGGCTATGGGGAGACAAGGGAAGGCTGAGGGTGGGGGTGGAGACCCTGGTAGGGAGACAGGGGGCAGGGGGAAGGGAAGGGGCTGGAGGAGCTGCTGGGACCAGGAGAAGGCAGGGGGTGTGCACTGAGAGGGCAAGGGCCTGGAGAACAGGCCGACCAGGCCAGGCCCAGGCTCACCATTGTAGGGGTCGATGCCCAGCTGAATCTTCCGTTCGATGGCAGCCTCGATCTCCTTCTTCCGTACACACTGGATGCCCAGGTTGTTAAAGCTGAGTGGGTTGGGGTGGGGGGATGAGAGGGGTCCTCATTAGTGTGGCCCTAAGTTGCAGGAGGCTACCAGGGCTGCACCGAGGCTTGCAGACTCTGGCTGAGACACCCCCGGCAGACCAGCATTAGGAAGGGTTGGGGGTTTGAATCTCAAGGATTCTTTTTTTTTAAGTCTCTCAAGGATTCTTAAGAACCTGGGGATAGGACCAGCAGGTGGCATGGTGGTTAGGGGCACTGGACTCCCATATGGCCGACTGTGGTTCAAGTCCCAGACCTGGTGGTTTGCTTTCTCACTTTCTTTCTCTCTCGCTCTGTCCTTCTCTGGTCAAATTTAAATAAATAAATAAATAAAGTTAAACAAAATAATTCTTAAAAAAAAAAAAAAGAACCTGGGGACATGTCTGTCCTGTCTTAACCACATGAAAACATTGGCCAGCTTCACTTATAGTAACAAAATTGCAGATTAAATACCAAAGTGGGGCCAGCAGGTGGTGTGGTTAAGGTTCTGGACTCCCACGTAGATGACAACAGTTGAGTCCCTGACCTGATGGCTTGCTTTCTCACTAAATAAATAATAAATATATAATAAATAATTATTGAAAAATAATTAATAAATAATATATATTTTTTAATGCCAATGAGGGCCCAGAAGGTGGCACAGTGGACCTGCATAGGCAGGCTCCAGGTTCAAATCCAGAAAGTTCCCTGTGCATACCGGGCTGGCAAACAGGTAGGTAGGTAGGTAAACAGGTACCAATCAGATGGCATTTGTTTTACGCACTCATCAAAACGGCGAAAATCACGATGTGGGAGCCAGCTGTGGCACAGCGGTAACACGGTGCTCTCCAAGGCTGACCCACACGAGCAGGTTCCTGACCCTCCTCCTGAGACCTCCCTGGGTTTGCCAGGCACGTACATGCCCATGATCCGGGCTGGCTGGGACCGGGGTGGGTCATGTACTGAGACCCTACTGGGGGTGCTGTCTCTGTCTCTCTTACTCATGGAAAAAATATAAGAAATTAAGGGGAAAACACAGTCACACTGTTTCCTAATACCCTGTGCTGGCGAGGCTGTGGAGAATCAGGCACTTGCGCCCACTGCTGGTGCAACTGCAAGCTGTCTAGCATGACTTATTCACCCATTCACTCCACAGAATATCTCCCGAGCGCGTACGATGCGCCAGGCACTGAGCTCCAGAGGGGATACAGCAGGGTACAAAGAGACAAAATCCCCATCCTCTAGGAGCTGACGTAAACTTATGAATGTATGGGTGTGGACTCAGCGATTCCATTCCTAAGAATTTATCCTGGAGAAGAAACGCACGTGAAGAAGTCAGGAACTGAATCAAACTCTGGCTCTGCCATGGACTGACTACCTGTGTTCCTGAGCCTCTCTGAGCCTCATCTCCTCCTCCACAAAATAAAATGTGGGTGAGGCCAGGGGGTGTGGTGGTTAAAGGTTCTGGACTCCCACATGGCCAGCTGTGGTTTGAGTCCTGCACCTGGCAGCTTGCTTTTTCACTCTCCCCACCCAAGTCTGTCCCTCTCTGGTCAAATTTAAATAAATAAAATAAAATAAAGTAATTCTTTAAACATAAATAAATAAAAATTATAAACTGTGGGGCTGGCAGGTGGCATGGGGGTTAAGACAGCTGGACTCCTACATGGCTGACCATGGTTTGAGTCCCAGACCAGGCAGCTTGCTTTTTCACTTTCCTTCTCTCTGTCTCTCTCTGGTCAATTTCAAAAATAAAATAATGACAATAAATAAAATTAAATAAAACAATTCTTTTAAAAAGAAAAAGATAAAATGCAGGTGTAGGGACCAGCAGTTGGCACAATGGCTATGTTGCTGGACTCCCATGTAGTCGACCATGGTTCGAGTCCCGGACCCGGTGGCTTAAACTCATGCCAGGCACATGTGCGTGCGTGCCCAAGATCCTAAGAGGAGAATGGAGGAGAAGGAATTGTGGTGTGGCATCCCCCCTGGGGAGTGAGTTTTTGCTTTCTGTCTCTCTAGCTTTCTGGCAAGCGCATGCGCTCTATAGCAAAAACCTCTCCCCCCCCAAAAAAAAAGAAACGTGGGTGCAGCTGGCTTCCAGATCTGGGTGAGGCCCCCGCTGCCCCCAGGCTGTGGTTTCCCTATCTGGGAGATGCAGTAGGAGAGTCTGACTAAGCTCCTCCCTGCCCTCATTTCACTAGGGATCTTCAACCTCCCAGAATCGTCATGACCGAGGGTGAGGAGTTGGGGATGGGCCAGGTACCTGTGCCGGGCACTGACGTGAGGCCGGAGCCGCACCCTGCAGACACCATCTGTGCAGTCTTTCCCCACGAGGCTGTGCGGGTGGACTCGGTGAGGCCAGTCCTTCCACACCAGGCACGCGGTCACCTCCACCTCCCGCAGCCCTCCGCAATCCCGGAGCTGCAGGAAGACAAGTGTTCTTTGGGGGATCCGTTACAGACACTCATACCCATCAAACCTTCTGGGTTATCTCCTGGGTACCCCCACAACACCAGAAGGGTGTTTGCTTAAGACCCCTCTGATAGCCTAAGCTGGAAGCTTCGAACTCATGGCCTGGGAGGGTCTCACAACACAGGCCCCTAGCACAGTGGTTAAGCACTGTGCTTTGGGAGCTGGATCCTACATGGTCAACCATGGTTTGAGTCCTGGCCCCATGGTGTGAAAGACCATGCTGGTCCTCCCTCTGCTTTAATCTTTACACAAAGGAAGCAACCTAAAGTAAAAAACTTAACTAATCAGTTATTTTCCTAGCGTTCTGTCCCCACCTTACAAAGAAATTAACTTTGAGGGACCAGCAGTTAGTGTAATGGCTATGTCGCTGGACTCCCACGTAGTCGACCGCAGTTCGCGTCCCGGACCCGGTGGCTTAAAACTCATGCCGGGCACGTGTGCGTGCATGCCCAAGATCCCGAGAGGAGAATGGAGGAGAAGGGATTGCAGCGTGGCCATCCCCCCTGGGGGGTGATTTCTCACTTTCTGTCTCTCTGTCTGTCTGGCAAGCGCACGCGCCCTATGGCAGAAACCTCTCCACAGAAAAAGAAACCAAAAACAAAACAAAAACAAAAACAAAAACAAAGAAATTAACTTTGAAATGACCAATCTGGTTTTTGTTCTTAGTTTCTACTTTCTTCAACCTCTTTCTGTCTGGAAAACCAAGCTCTTCTCTTCAGCTCATTAGAATACTCATTCTATCCTATGGAATTTAGTGTGACCCAATTGTAGAATTACAAATAAACCAAGATCTTTAAGTTGGGGGTCAGTAGGTGGTATAGTGGTTTGAGTGCTAGACTCCCACACAGCAGACTGCAGTTCAAATCCCAGACCTGGAGGCTTGCTTTCTCACTCCCTCCCACCCCCTCACTCTGGTGAGCACACATGCCCTATAATAAATTAGAAATAATAGTAATAATAAATCTTTAAAGAAGGATCAGCTCTGTAGCCTGGTGGTTAAGGCAGATGGATTCTATAAGGCCAACCGCGTGGTTCAAGTCCCAAAAGAGCTGCTTGAGAAACAAGCCAGGTGCACGTAGCATGACCATTTTCCTTAGGTAGTTCTCTCTCCTCTGTCTCTCCCTCCCTGTCTCTGGCAAACAAAAGATAGGCATTTCTCTTTGAATCAAAAGAGAACAAATACTGATCCAGGTGGTAGTTATACAATATATATGCAGGAAAATTTCACAGAACTGAAGCCAGCTGGTGGTCTGGTGGTTAAGGCATTGGATCCTGTGGAGCCAACTGCACAGTTCCAAGTCCCAGAACTGGTCACTTGAAAAACACATCGGGTACATGTGTGTGAGTGCCCCAAATCCCAAAAGAACAGACGAAAAGTAATGTCCATCCCTCCTGGGGTGTGCTTTTCACTTTCCCTCTCTCGCTCCATCTCTCTCTAGTAAGCGCATTTGCAAATTATATAATTTTTTTTCACTTATGATTTGATTAATTAGGAAGCAGTAGGTGGCATGGTGGTTAAGGCACTGGACTCCCCCACATGGCTGACCATGGTTTGAGTCCCAAGCCCAGTGGCTTGCTTTCTCACTTTCTCTCTCTCTCTCTCTCTCTGTCTCTCTCTGGTGAGCACACATGCCCTATAGCAAACTTAAAAAAAAAAAAAGAAGAAGAAACAAAAAATAAATAATAAATAATTAAAAAGATCTGATGAATTGTGATTCAATTTTTTAAAAACAGAGACTAAAGAGACATGACAAACAAATGGAACATATGTTCCTCGGTAAGATCCCAGAAGGGGAAGGAACAATTCTAAACCACCGTTTAGCTGGACAGTGAGCACAAATGAAATCCTCCAGCTTACAGGCCCGTGCAAGTGCCCACCCCCGGTGGGCTGGAGGACTGCAGGAAGGGCAGGGGATGCTGTGTGACCAGACCCCACGGAGCGTGCTCTTCTCCTCTCTCTTTCGTGTGCCTATGCACCCTATCCTATCGTAAATGAAGGGGGAAAAAGATATTTTTGGTACAATCGAGAAATAAAGTAAAATATGATATTAGGGAATTATTGAATTTTAAAGGAGTATTAATGGAATCACAGCTGCAGAGGAACTTATTCTTAGGAAATGCACACTGAAGTATTTAGAGGTGAAGTAATGTGGTATTTACAGTTTGTCTGCAAATGGTTCAGCAAAAAACAAAACCCATGTGTTGATCTGCGTATGTGTTTGAGCGTGTGGAGGAAGAACAAGAGGTGCAGCCAATTATGGTGAAACGCCAGCTGACAAACAGGTAAAAACACCCAGGTGTGAGACCAGCAGAGGGAGTAATGGTTATGTCACTGGACTCCCACAGAGTTGACCCTGGTTTGAGTTCTGGAGCCGGCAGCTTAAAACTCACGCCAGCGCATGTGCATGGGTGCCTAAACCCCCGAGAGAAAAATGGAAGAGGAGGGATGGTGGCATGGCCATCCGCCCCGGGGGGGTGATTTCTCACTTTCTATATCTGTCTCTCTGGTGGGCACATGCACCTTAGAGTAAAAAAAAATAAAATAAAATAAAATAAAATAAAAACTCAAAAAAAAAAAACTAAGCTAAACTAAAAAACCCCAGGTACTTATCATGTTGTTTTGAATGTTTCTGTAGGTTTAGAATTGTTTTGCCTTTTGCCTCATGGCGCCACTGAAAGCAAGATGGGTCAGCAGCAGCTCTGCAGGAGCTAGGGTGCTCCCCCCCAAACCCACACAGTCTGACCCAGAAGCACGGCCTCGGCATGTGCTTCTGTCGATACGGGAAGGACACAGGCTTCGTCGGGTTGGACTAAGTGATCTTCCTTTTTGTTTTTGAGAGGTTTTCGCTATAGGGCACATGCGCTCGCCAGACAGAGAGCGATAGAGAGACAGAAAGCGAGAAATTATCCCCCAGGAGGGATGGCCACACCGCAATCCCTTCTCCTCCATTCTCCTCTCGGGATCTTGGGCACGCACGCACACGCGCGCGACGTGAGTCTAAGCCACCGGGTCTGGGACTTGAACTGTGGCCAACTACATGGAAGTCCAGTGACAGCCATTACGCTAACTGCTGGTCCCCTAAGTGAGCTTCCTTGAATGAAGTATCCAAGATATCTACCCAATGAAAGAAACCATGCTGTTCTCTGAACATACAATAACTTTTTTTAGAGAGATTTTTGCCATAGGGCACTTTAGAAAGATTTTTTCCGTAGGACACGTGCGCTCGCCAGAAAGAGAGTCAGAAAGACAGAAAGTGAGAAATCACCCCCTTGGGGGATGGCCATGCCGCGATTGCTTTTTCCCTCATTTTTTCTCTCGGGATTATGGCCATGGATGCACATGTACCCGGCATGAATTTCAAGCTGCCGGGTCCAGGACTTGAATCGCAGTCGACCATGTGAGAATTCAGCAACATAACCATTATACCATCTACTGGTCCCACACAACAACATTTTTTAAAATTTGGGGTTTTTTTAAGGTTTATGCCATAGGGTGCATGCATTTGCTGAAATGAAACAGAAAGAGGGAAAGTGAAAAATCAACCCCAGGGAAGATGGCCAGGCTACAATCCCTTCTCCTCCACTCTTATCTTGGGATTTGGGGCACATAAGCACCTGGTGTGATTTTTTTTTTCAATTTTATTTGTTCATTCATTTATTTTAATTTGACCAGAGAGAGGGTGAGAAAGCAAGTCACCAGGTCCGGGACTCAAACCGTGGTCAGGTATGTGGAAGTGTCTACCACAGTAACCATCACACCGCCTGCTGGTCCCCTCATGCTGTGATTTTTTTTTTTTTAATAACTATTTATTTTATTTTTATTTATTCATTCATTGATTTTTTAATTTGACCAGAGAGAGGGTGAGAAAGCAAGTCACCAGGTCCGGGACTCAAACCGTGGTCAGGTATGTGGAAGTGTCTACCACAGTAACCATCACACCGCCTGCTGGTCCCCTCATGCTGTGATTTTTTTTTTTTTAATAACTATTTATTTTATTTTTATTTATTCATTCATTGATTTTTTAATTTGACCAGAGAGAGGGTGAGAAAGCAAGTCACCAGGTCCGGGACTCAAACCGTGGTCAGGTATGTGGAAGTGTCTACCACAGTAACCATCACACCGCCTGCTGGTCCCCTCATGCTGTGATTTTTTTTTTTTTAATAACTATTTATTTTATTTTTATTTATTCATTCATTGATTTTTTAATTTGACCAGAGATGGACAGAGAGTATCAAATTTTCCCTCAGTTACATAAAAATATTCACACAGAAAAAAATTGTGGCCATAATTCATCAAAATGTATAGATTAAATACATGCAATTAAAAAAAAAAAAGCTGGAATAGAGATTTAAAACGCTTTTTTCAAACTAGAAAGTTGAGAAAATTTAGCCGTCATTTAAAAATTATGAGGTAGGGGGACCAGCAGTTGGCATAATGGCTATGTTGCTGGACTCCCATGTAGTCGACCGTGGTTTGAGTCCTGAAGCCGGTGGCTTAAACTCAAGCCAGGCGCGAGTGCGTGCGTGCCCAAGATCCCAAGAGGAGAATGGAGGAGAAGGGATTGTGGCGTGGCCATCCCCCTTGGGGGGTGATTTCTCGCTTTCTGTCTCTCTGTCTCTCTCTTTCTGACAAGCACACGTGCCCTATAGCAAAAACCTCTCAAAAAAATTAAAAATAAAAAATAAATTATGAGGGGGGACCAGCAGGTGGCATGGTGGTTAAGGCGCTGGACACGCCCACATGGCCGACCACGGTTCAAATCCCAGACCTGGCGGCTTACTTTCTCACTCTCTCTCTCTGTGTCTTTCTCTGTTCAAATTAAAAAATGAATGAATGAATATAATTAAATAAGTAATTATTTTAAAAATTAAAAAATTAAAAAAGTATGAGATAGGGACCAGCAGGTGGTGTGGTGGTTAAGGTGCTGGACACTCCAACGTGACTGACC